CCTGGTATTGTAGTACTTTTAAAGCTTTCTCACCGGTGAATGACACATGATGTAGCACAGCGGTTCCCAATTCCAGTCCTCACGCCCCCCCTGCTCTGCATATTTTGCATGTCTCGCTTAGTTAACACACCCGATTCAGATAACCAACTCGTTAGAAGAGAGCTACGTGCATTAACTGTGTTCCGATCGATATGACCCCTACACAGTGTTCATTGCTCCCTACTCCCTGAGCAGGGGAAATCCGTTTAAGTTTACTTCACTTCTGAACATGGGCTGGAATTGAGAACGGCTGATGTAGCCTATTGTAGTAATGCTTTCTCTGGTATTCTGGTCTGTGAGCGTATATGCGTTCAGGGGGCGTGGCTTTGGACGGCAATTGCAGGGAGGGTGGGACTGTCGCTTTCAGTGCTATCAGGCTAAAGTTAGCATTTTCCAAGATCTCCTACTGCACCTTTAAGGCCACCTAATATAAAGTGGGACCAAAACGATTAACATTATGTATTTAGGCTATAACACGCGTTTGCTGCGTTGAGCAATGTTGATTTCTGGAACGCAATGGCCAGTCATGAGTGCAGTCAGAACAGCCGGCATTGTAGGCTACTCTCCCAGGTTCAGGAAACTGTAACCGTAAACTGCGCTGCACACAAACTAATATTTGGTTTGAACTGTTCTGGAACAGTGTTGTAAATACAACTTAACCACTGATTTCTAGTTGTGTCCTCTTTTGGAAGACCAAACAAAGTTTCGCTTTCACAACGAAACATACAGCGTCTCCACGACATGGCGGCAGCGGCAAAAATACTATAGCGAGAATCAAAGTTACGCCTTCTTTCTTTGTGTGAACATTTGTGTGGGGTTATGCAAATCTTCCCACACAGTGACATATCTATGTGGAGGCGTGGACGAGTCTTAACTTTTAAATAGAATATCTCTTTGGGTTGAGACTTTAGTCTTTGCAACTTAAGGGATCGTATGTATTCACAAACAGCTTGTAACACTCCAAAGAGAAGGGAAAGGGTGAGGACCGGTTGGGGAGTTACGGAACGGCCCAGCTCGGGGATCTCATGTCGCATAATCTTATTAACTGCTTATCTCCTGAACTTTCTTTACCACGCTATTCAGCACCAATCCCGCCGTGCAAACAATTTCACTGGCTAAGGTTAGGGTCAGGTGGGGGGCAGGCTTAGGGGTTAGCATTTATTGTAGCATAGTGTAGGAAATCAACACTGTGATTGACAACCAATAAAATTTTTAGAATCAGCTGTGGGGCGGAGTTTCCACTGAACTGGATTGGGAGAAAAAATTGCGCATGTGATGCGACGTGCCTGTCTGTCAATGGGAGGGTGCCACGCCCTATTTTGGAGCTCCCACCACGTTTTGGAGTTCCCTCCCCCATTTGGAAAAACGCTCAGTCCAAGCGTTTTAATTGGCTTTCCTACCTGCCTGTCAACATATAAATTTGCATACCTCTGCGCACCCGTTTTACGCAGACAGGATACGTCATCAGCGTGTTCAGGCATGCTGTGCAGACAGAGTGAGAATGGCAGACAAACATCAAAAACCCGATCTTCCTTCCTGGTATTGTAGTACTTTTAAAGCTTTCTCACCGGTGAATGACACATGATGTAGCACAGCGGTTCCCAATTCCAGTCCTCACGCCCCCCCTGCTCTGCATATTTTGCATGTCTCGCTTAGTTAACACACCCGATTCAGATAACCAACTCGTTAGAAGAGAGCTACGTGCATTAACTGTGTTCCGATCGATATGACCCCTACACAGTGTTCATTGCTCCCTACTCCCTGAACGGGGGGAATCCATTGAAGTTTACTTCACTTTGGAACATGGGCTGGAATTGGGAACCATTGATATAGCCTATTGTAGTAATGTTGTCTCTGGTATTCTGGTCTGTGAGCGTAAATGCGTTCAGGGGGCGTGGCTTTGGACGGCGATTGCAGGGAGGGTGGGACTGTCGCTTTCAGTGCTATCAGGCTAAAGTTAGCATTTTCCAAGATCTCCTACTGCACCTTTAAGGCCACCTAATATAAAGTGGGACCAAAACGATTAACATTATGTATTTAGGCTATAACACGCGTTTGCTGCGTTGAGCAATGTTGATTTCTGGAACGCAATGGCCAGTCATGAGTGCAGTCAGAACAGCCGGCATTGTAGGCTACTCTCCCAGGTTCAGGAAACTGTAACCGTAAACTGCGCTGCACACAAACTAATATTTGGTTTGAACTGTTCTGGAACAGTGTTGTAAATACAACTTAACCACTGATTTCTAGTTGTGTCCTCTTTTGGAAGACCAAACAAAGTTTCGCTTTCACAACGAAACATACAGCGTCTCCACGACATGGCGGCAGCGGCAAAAATACTATAGCGAGAATCAAAGTTACGCCTTCTTTCTTTGTGTGAACATTTGTGTGGGGTTATGCAAATCTTCCCACACAGTGACATATCTATGTGGAGGCGTGGACGAGTCTTAACTTTTAAATAGAATATCTCTTTGGGTTGAGACTTTAGTCTTTGCAACTTAAGGGATCGTATGTATTCACAAACAGCTTGTAACACTCCAAAGAGAAGGGAAAGGGTGAGGACCGGTTGGGGAGTTACGGAACGGCCCAGCTCGGGGATCTCATGTCGCATAATCTTATTAACTGCTTATCTCCTGAACTTTCTTTACCACGCTATTCAGCACCAATCCCGCCGTGCAAACAATTTCACTGGCTAAGGTTAGGGTCAGGTGGGGGGCAGGCTTAGGGGTTAGCATTTATTGTAGCATAGTGTAGGAAATCAACACTGTGATTGACAACCAATAAAATTTTTAGAATCAGCTGTGGGGCGGAGTTTCCACTGAACTGGATTGGGAGAAAAAATTGCGCATGTGATGCGACGTGCCTGTCTGTCAATGGGAGGGTGCCACGCCCTATTTTGGAGCTCCCACCACGTTTTGGAGTTCCCTCCCCCATTTGGATCTCCAGGCTGCAGTTAATGTGCGTTCACGCCATATCGGAATTCCCGTAATTACGAGATTCCAATCTCGTAATAAAAAGCGTTCACATCCTCGTAGAGCTCATAATTACAACTTGTGAACGGGGAGTTTTCTGAGAGCTACGACTTGTAAAACATGACTGCTGTACCACCTGACCACCGCAGGCTCTATTTAGGCATTGATAGTGTTGCTATAGAAAAGCGTAATTCCGAGTCAGAGGACGTGAACAGCTCCAAGTAGAACGTCACGTGCTGTCATCTCGAAATTACGGTAATTACGATATGGCGTGAACGCAGCTTCTCGAAAGTTCAGGCTATTCTTATCACATGACCATCACAAGGATCACCAGCCACTTTGCCTCATATTCAGTGGAGTGCCGTTGGTTCTCTCTTTCTCGTCTCTCTGGCCCAAGCATCACAGTTTGGCCGGTCTCCAGCAATAACACAGCTGTTGAAATGGCTTTGTCGCCGGGGTGATGCGCGCTGCGCCCGGGCGGAATGTTTGTGTGTGCTAAGCTGACATTCAAAGCTCTTTGGCACAGCCGCTCGTAGGTGGGGGCCACTGCAGACACACTGGAGGAGAGAGGATTGGGCTAATAATGTCTGCCGCTCTCTCTCGCTCTCTCTCTCTCTCTCATCAAAGTGAGGTTTATTGTAGATCAAGTACTCTCAAGTATAACATCAAACTCTTTTCTGCCCTTCATGTGTAATTACAAGGCTGTGCAAAGCGATCTAAACCACCAGCCCCTTTCCCAGATACCTCATGCTTTCCCAAAGCTCAGGAGTTTCACACCACATGACTCTGTAGTACTTTGACAATCCCTCATGCAAAGTTGAACCTGTTTTTTTTTTTTTGTGAGTCTGTGAATTTGATTATATACAGTATGTGTGTGTATGTGTATGTGTATGTGTATATATATATATATATATATATATATATATATATATATATAGTGTATATATATTATACCTGCTGATGTATTGAAACAAGTGTGTGAGAGGTTATGACTCCAATAGGGTGTCCATTTATAAAATGACTCCCAGGTTTCCTTGAGCTACTTTTAGCCACACTGTGATGACAAGTTATTCATGAGAATGCTATGGGATGTCATAAATCTGTCATTTCACATGTCTGCATTTGGCCTTGTCCAATATTGTTCTTCAGTCAGCAGGTGCTCATTTATTTTTCCAGATGTCAAGGTTTTGAAGAGATAAGAATTTACTCAAAAATGACCTGCAATGATCATTTACTCACCTTCATGTTGTTTTGCATGCTTATGTGACTTTATTTTCCCTGTGAAACACAAAAGGTGAATTTGAGTGTTGTCAAAATCCAAATGCCAGAAAAAAAGTAATGGTGGTTAAAAAGTAAAACCGTAAAAAGTGGTCAGTAGGACGCGTGTATTGTATTCTAAGACTTCTGTAGCCTTATGATAACGTCATTTACAAGATGTGCTGTTTCACAGATCTAATATAACTGATACACATGCAGTTTCTTCCCAACTTTTTACATTCACAAACAAAATGCATTGCAGTCATTTCCCAAAATGTAATTTATGTAGAAATATAACAAAGTCTGTAAACCGGAATGAACTTGCAATTAACTTGTGAGCTCTATAAAAAATAGCTTCTCATGGTTCTCATGTAGCTGGCGTCTTTGTTTGGATCGTGATCAGTGCCAAATGGGTACAGCTATTTTTTTAAGGCAAGTTCAGCCTGTAATGGAGCAAAAACATTTTATGTACTTTTTCATTCATTCTTGTCTCAAGCTTAAAGAAAAAAAAGGCAATCGGAAATCGACCCAATTGCTTGTTTAAAAAAAAAAAAAAGACTGGAGATCAGAATCGGTAGTCAGTTGGCAAATAAGGTTATTTACAAAGGTTTTAAAGAAGTTAAGCAGTTAAGAAGAAAATAGCAGTTATTAAAATGCAGCAACTGTTACTGGTTATAGTGCATTATCTTTCTGATATATCAGACTGAATTATGTATGTTCTTTGTTGGGGTGTAGAAGATGGATCTTTGGTCACCATGGATGTTGGTCTGGCCTACAGAGACAGCACTCTGAGTGAGTGGACTGAGATGGCCCATTCAATAGAGCATCGCAAATTGAGCTGCAATTTCACTGCCACAAAGGTAAGCTCGCAAGTTATTTCTGAATCGTAACAAATCCAAAAACACCCCTTATTGATAGTGTTAAGGCCATTTTTCAAGGTAGGGCAGAGACTTCAATCTCTGTAAATGCTATATAGGGACCAAGTGTGTTGTACCTTGAAAAGCTCAGTATATTAGTTTTCTTGTAAAATGTTCAAAACCTCACCAGAACCTCTTTTTTTGTGTCAGACTTATGAGAACGAGGGGCGCTACTATGATTGTGACCTGTTGCCCTTTATGGAGGTTGGCAGTGTGGCCCATAAGTACTATCTTCTCAACATCCGACTTCCTGTTAATGAACGCAAAAAAGTCAACATCGGGATTGGAGAAATCAAAGACATTCGTCTAGTGGTGAGTCTTCAGACAATATAGAATGTGTGCTGTGACTTTGATTAAATACAGTCATAGGATGCATGTTTACTCAGAGTTATGCAAGCAGTTTTGTTTGAGCTTTGTTTGCATGGGAGGATTCTGGCCCAGTCTCGGCTTGTTATAATTGGCACACACTTCTGGACAGGGCAATGGTTATACAAATGTCAGTGGACTGAAAATATCTGTATTGCATCACTTAATCTTCTCTTCTGTTTGGCTTACTCTTATTTGTCTCTCAGCAAACAACCATACCCATTAATTAAGTGCTCTTAATGTGTTTCTTGTGATGTCACTGTAATGTCCCTCTCAATGTAACTTTCCAGAGCATTCATCAAAATGGTGGCTTCACCAAGGTTTGGTTTGCCATGAAGACGTTCCTCACTCCCAGCGTCCTCATTATCATGATCTGGTACTGGAGGAGAATCACCCAGATGACCAGGCCACCTGTTCTCTTGGAAAAGTAAGATTCTTATGTTTCTGTCACTTCTTTAAACTGGTCTGCTAGATCAAGGCCACAGTCACACAACAGCAGAATACGATTGTCATTACTGTATTTGAGTCCTTAATAGGGTTACGTTCAGACTGTTTGGTTACTTATGGGATTGACAACCCTATTCTATAACTGAACTCACATCAGTGAACTTTCAGGACTCAGATCTGTATTTTAAGAAAAGCCCTGCTGTGTGAATGGAACCATACTGGACAACTACTTGTCACTTCTAGCATGGGTTTTAATTTTTCGGTTTATGGTTTCTGTAACTTACAGAAAAGCAGATATGAGCAGTGTGTCATCTGAAATTTTAGATCCTGTCCTATCAGTTTTGTGGTATGCATGCATCGCAAATGCTCCACTCTTTACTGAGGTATAAATCTGCCTTAAGATTCTCACTAAAATCTTAAGATTTTCCAGAATAAATTTAGCCTCAATTGAACTTGGAAAAGTTAAATTCTGAGAAATTAGTAATTGTAATAGTGATGCTTGCCTTAGAAAAACACTGAAATCGACTTTGAAAACACTTAAAATTTAATGAAGGAATTAAAATGGTGAAACGTTTTTATCTTATTTTTTTACATTCAAGCATATCATAGACTCTTGTATGCAAAGCAACCTTAATTGCATTTAAGCTATGCATTTTATCAGTTCATTTGTTCATGCATTCCCTAAGAATCAAACCCATGATCTTGTTGTTGCTAGCGCCATGCTCAACAGTTTGAGCTACAGGAATGTATCTAACAATCAGTTTCTCTATACAAAATATATTGCATTGTGAACTAGTGCTGGGCGGGTATGACCAAAAATTTATATCACGGTATTTTTAAAAATTATACCGGTTTCACGGTACATGACGGTATCTTTTTTTTTTATGCATACCGGGTGTTAACCATATTTTCTACTGATTGAGAGAGGAAATACTGCAGTATATGGACTTAGAATGCCCTATTTTACTGTCATGAGTGAATATTGTAAAAAAATACCACACTAAATAGTGATGTTTTTAATACAAACATCTTTTAATACATGTTAACCAGGAGTCACTCTCATTTATAATCGCGGCATCGTCTGATAAAATCAACATGCATCTACACTAAAGAGTGGCAATGCGGTTGTTTTGGCTATATTACTTTTTTGTCTCATGCAGCGCACTGCCTGCATCTGAGTAACAAACTAAAAAAAACAACAAACAAAAATAGTGCATGTGATATTAACAGACGAACTATGCTCATATTTATAATTCCAAACAATCAGTAAGCGACGAGTACAAAACAGTGTTTCCTAGCACCTATTTATTGACGAGTCTGCTGCGGCGCAGCCAAGTGAATGTGCTGCTCCTCTGCCGCTCACTGCACAGAACAGATGCCGAGAGAGGTGACACTTCTCCGGGAAAGTCCGACCTCGCGTTCGCGGAACAGCACTGGCGATTATCTTCCAAGTGAACCATAGCTAAGGTTTATCCAAAAAAGTCGCTAGGTTTGTCAGTATGAATATTCTATGGAAAAAAGCTGCTAAAAGGGTCTGAAAGTTGCTAAATCTAGTGATAAAGTCACGCTCGTGTGTGTGTGTGTGTGTGTGTGTGTGTGTGAGACGTGGGAGCTGATGGCAGGGGGCGGTGGATATTTGTGGATGAGTTCTTCTGTGTCACCACGTTCTATTAGTTCTACAGCTTCAGTTTCTGAACTTTCACGCTTAGTAGCACATACAGCTGTTCCCTCACCACAGTGCAACAGTGAAAAGGGACCCCTTTCAAACAGTGTTGCATTCTGAACATTGTTTAAGCGACATACACCAGTATTTAAAAAATTAATATCATAAAAAAAATAAACACTGGTATTCGGTATGAACCGGTATACCGCCCAGCACTATTGTGAACAGTGTTTGATATGACACTATTTCAGTCAGATGGCTAAGATCTGATATTAATGAATAAATATAATTTATATTTCCTGATGACAAGGATTTCTTTCTGTTAATATTTCCTGAAGAAATCTTTTTAATAATTTAATTTAGTTTCTTCCTTGCAAACTAAGCACTTGCACCAACCATCCATCTCTCACACACACTACCTGTGCACTAGAGGTCCCAGCAGACAGGAAGCTCTCAAGCAGTTGTACTTTGCGCATCTTGCAGGAAGGATAATTATTTTTTCATGTTGTAAAAGCATTTCCATAGCATGCTTTTTTAAATAGAGTGTCAAGATGGGAACTGGAATTCTTTTTACATTTCTGAGGGAGCTAAGAAATGTGTGACATGGGCTCCCACCGGATTTCTTATTGGAATGATGCCAGAATGCTGCTTCATGCCAGTGGAACTGGCAGAGACGCTGTGAGTGTGTGAGTTACACATGTCTCCAGGGAGCAGCTTGTTTTAGTTGACATCATGGATGTGCGTTATCTTGCATTTTTGCTATTCACAGCTAACTTTTTGTGCCCTTGTGTGTTTAAGAGCTCTTTCAAAAATACATAAATGCACTTCATACATACAATGAATGACTTAAATACATTGCATGTATTAATTAAAATTATAATGGTGAAATATCAGACGAAGCAGATTTTTTTTTTTTAGCAGCCATTACTCCAGTCTTCAATATTTCTTATGTGCTGCTTAATATTTTTGTGAAAACCTTGGTACTTTGTTTCAGGATTCTTTAAATTACAAGTTCAATTTAATGTATCCTTGCTGAAAGGAGTATCAATTTCTTTCTTTCAAAAACAAAAAAATCTCATTGACCCCAAACATTAAAACGTACCTGAAAAATGCATCTAAAAACTTAAAAATGGTAAAATCTATTATTACTTCAACCTTTTCTTGAAAAATGCTATAAAACCACATGAAGCCAATATGAATATAATGAGTACATTTCTAAGAACTTCTGTTCTACACTAATGTTTTAAAATATTTTTTTTCTTTTCTTTCTTGTGGACTGTCTTGTCATTTTCATTTTGCAATTTTACTTTTTGGTAGCTGAAAAGCTGCTTTGTTCACATTGCCAGTAAGCAAATGCACCTTCGTACCCTCAGCAGAGTTGAACTCATGGAACATTCCCGGCATTCCAACACAATATGGTCTCTTTCTGCCCTGATTGGGCAGGCTGGAATGTGATTCATGTGTTTGAAGTCACATTCTACACCCCTTCTCAGTCTCACCAAATTAGCTTGTCCCAGCATGCTTGCTTTTGAACACTAGAAAAAAAATTTAAGTCAACATGGAGCCAAATTTGTTTGACTTTGTCTTGGTTCTATCATACGTTTGTTAAAAAAGTGATCTTTACTGGTATATTGATAATGATCATATCTCGTGCGCTTTGTGTTCTTTTAGGATTATCTTTGCTCTGGGAATCTCCATGACATTCATCAATATCCCAGTTGAATGGTTCTCAGTGGGTTTCAACTGGACCTGGATGCTGCTGTTTGGTGACATCCGTCAGGGCATCTTCTACGCAATGCTGCTTTCTTTCTGGATCGTCTTCTGTGGAGAACATCTCATGGTAAGAGCCACTTTCCTGTTTGTCCAAACAATGGAATACTAAGGGAGTGTTTGGAAACTATTTGGTGCAGAACTACTTTGCAGTTTTATGTTAGACTAAACTAACTTATAGTAAAAAGAGCTACTGAATTGATTGCCATATAATGCATTTTTGTTGCGTGCGTGTGTGTGTGTGTGTGTGTTTTTTTTTTGTTGAAAATGGTTGTGCTGCATAATATTTTTGTGGAAACCATGAAACACTTGTTTCTTGAATATTTTTTTTTTCTCTCATGTAGGGCCTCATCTTCCGCTTCAAGTTCCTGATGTTGGTCACACTAGCATGTGCTGCAATGACTGTCATCTTCTTCATCATAAGCCAGGTATAGATTAGTTGTCAGCTAAATCGGTTTCCTCATGATATGTCATTGTAGATTGAAGATTCATTCACAAAGATATCTCAATCATGCTTTTGCTGATATCTATACTTTTGTGGTATAGTGTAGTCGTATGCTTTGTGTTAAGTTATCACTTTAACTGAGATTGGTGCAGATGGCCTTCATCATTGTAGCAGGAATCTGCGCATGTCTCTACTTCCTGTTCCTGTGCTTCATGGTGTTCCAAGTGTTCAGAAACATCAGTGGGAAAAGGTCGTCTTTACCTGCTATGACAAAGGCTCGTCGACTGCACTATGAGGTAATGTGTAACCTAGATAATGTTAGCATTTGTATGACTAATGAGCTTTCGGAAAACCCAAAAGAAGTTTGTACCAACAAGTTTAGAAATTTGCTAAAAAGGAAGTTTATGACCGTATACAGACTGCTGATTTCTAACGAATTATAACGTCCTAAATGTTGCAACTAGATATATTTAAATGCACTACCATTCAAATGTTTATGGTTGGTTTGTGGTTCTTGCGTGTTCAGTCTTTTCTGTGTGCCAAGTAGTTCGGACTCCATGTTACTATAACCTCGAATTTAGGTTGAAATGCAAATTGGTTGTTTGTCCATTTTTATTTATTATTATTCTGACACTTGATTATTCTATTTAACTGTTTACTTTTATATTTGACTCATTCAAATTGTGTTTGAATTGTCTGTATCTCAGGAGATCAAAGTACCTGAGATTCTTACAGCCTTACATTGCTCAAGAAACATTTGGTATTATCAGTGTTGAAAATGGTTGTGCTGCATAATATTTTTGTGGAAACCATGAAACACTTGTTTCTTGAATATTTTTTTTTTCTCTCATGTAGGGCCTCATCTTCCGCTTCAAGTTCCTGATGTTGGTCACACTAGCATGTGCTGCAATGACTGTCATCTTCTTCATCATTAGCCAGGTATAGATTAGTTGTCAGCTAATTCAGTTTCTACATATGTCATCGTAGATTGATTCATTCATGTGGTTTTCGTTGTGTGTTAACAGGTGAATGAGGGTCACTGGCACTGGGGTGGCTACACGGTTCAGGTGAACAGTGCCTTCTTCACCGGAATCTATGGCATGTGGAACCTCTATGTATTTGCCCTCATGTTTCTCTATGCACCATCTCACAAGCGTTATGGGGACGAGCAATCAAGCGGTGAGACACTTGGACCGTAAAATTGTAAATAATTTGTATGACACCTGCAACTCTAATGGCAAAGCTTCTATGCAGACATGCTGCATATAATAGGTATTATATGCATTATAAACCTGTGTCAACCAACATCAAGGATGGTCCAGCTACAAGCACCTCACCATTCATCATGGAATGGACATTATGGACACTGATCACAATCCTTCATTTATTTTATTTTGTCAAATTAATATTTGACTTGTACTAAACTTGCCTAATCTACAGTAGCATCAACATTTAGTTCAGACTCTGTAGCCAGAGGTGACCCCCTGACTTCAATAGCTAGTGATTCGTTTACTGTGTAAAATATATTATTTTGCTGTGAAAGAGCCAAATGATAAAATACATCTATTTACAATATGATTTGTTGTTGTAATAGACATTATTAGTATCATTAGCATTTTTTTTACCTTAATGATATATTATATTATATCATATTTGTTTTTCAGAGGTGGCCATTTAAAATACAGCAAATTAAAGGTCTTTATTTTTTTGTCTGCCAGCCAGCTGTAAATTGCATACAAATATTTACACTGTACGAGAATTTGAGTTCATATACAAGGGCCTGTTGATGACCGTTAAAACAAAAGTTTTTTTAATCTGCTGTGCACTGTGGGGATATCAAGGGTTGTGTTCCTCATGTAAGTAGTGAATCACTAAACTGTTATTTGATTGATAACTGTCTTCTAATCAATAGCTTATAAATAAATAAATAAAGGCCAAATTTGAGGTTTGGCACAGAATGTTGCATAAATGTTGCCCCTATAGAGCATTGTATTGTTAGCGTTAGGATTATTTGTTTTACAGACAAACTGAGACTACGTTTTGAGACACACCCAGAACTGCTCAGTTTTTCCCATGAATCATGAGAAATAATTTTTTTTTATTGTGCTGTATCGAAAGTACACAGGTTGTCTAAATCGATCTTGGAATGTGTTTTTAAAAAGATGTCTCCGAGTCAGACGATGCTGTTTCATGTCTGCAGCACAAGGAAATCAGTACCTGCATCACTGTAAGGACATTCACTTAGCACCATGTTACACAGTCTCCTCATGTTTAGGTTCTTTTAAGAAGCACATCTTGATGTCAGGAAAGGGTGGGGCTAGTTCCCTGCCCCCCTCTTTTGGGGAAATGGGCCTCTTTGGCGGCAGTCGTTGTCTCTAATCTAGGCCAGGCTCCCTACTTGGGCTGGTCTAATGAAAACCATCAATATCTTGATGTCATGCTTGAAACTTTCTTTATGGTTTTCGGTCTCTGAATGGTGTTTATTGTTAGGTTAGAATAGACATGCTGGAGATCTTCAAACATTACTTCAGTGTTACTTTTTTTTTTTAGTGCATGATGCCAAGAGGTGACAAGTGTCAGTCTCAGCTCTGTCTAAAATGTTGTTGACAACATAGACAAATTAGTAGTAAATCATTTAAATTGTCAGTGGTCATATCCTTCCCAAATTCTCCTGTTATTATAATTTGAGTAAATGCATGAGCCGAAAATCTGTTTGACTTTACTGTAATATTCAGTAATGTTTACTTATTTATAGATAATATTTTTTATTTAACAAGGATGCATTTGATTGATCAAAAATTGTTGCATCAACATGTATAATGTTACACAAAGATTTCTGTTATTCCAAATCAGCATATTAGAAGGTTTTCTGAAGGATTATGTGACTCTGAATACTGGCGTGATGGCTGCACAGCATTTTAAAATACCTTAAAATAAAAATAATAATTTAAAAATGTATTATATATTTATTATATTATTGTTGTTTTCAGTGTATTTTTGATCAAATTAATGCGACCTTGATGGGCATTAGAGACTTTAAAAACATTACAAATCTTACTGATCCCAAACGTTGAAACTTTTTTTTTAATTGCCAGTGATAATGGAATAGGTTAGAAATGGTTGTGACAAGGTGCTTTCCTACTTTTAGTGCTTTTGTGTGCACAACATATATGTGTGTTATTGCATATATACAGTGGGTACGGAAAGTATTCAGACCCCCTTACATTTTTCACTCTTTGTTATATTGCAGCCATTTGCTAAAATCATTTAAGTTAATTTTTTTTCCTCATTAATGTACACACAGCACCCCATATTGACAGAAAAACACAGAATTGTTGACATTTATGCAGATTTATTAAAAAAGAAAAACTGAAAGGGTACATTTAATGAGGGAAAAAAATTAACTTAAATGATTTTAGCAAATGGCTGCAATATAACGAAGAGTGAAAAATGTAAGGGGGTCTGAATACTTTCCGTACCCACTGTACATTATGGTTATTTTTTCTTGACCTGATCGCAAACTTAGTGGATCTTAATTTAGTATTGAAAAATTATAGTGCATCACACATGGTTTTCCATGTTTGTTCAGGCTTGTGCTGCAACAAGTTTTGGGGTATTTTTTTGTTTATGCTGAATTCTTTATGAAGACGTTATCACCTTCAAACTTATGTTTCCTGTTGTTGCTACCCTGTCATGATGTTAGTGTAAGTATTGATCAGTCACTGATACATATTCCTCTGTTCTCTTTTTCAAGCTGGAAATAGTGGTGAAGAAATACAGTTGACCACCACCATCACACACGTGGACGGACCTACAGAGATCTACAAAATGACCGGCAAAGAAGCTCAAGAGTAACCATCACCTGTATTCAGGCTCCAACAAGAGTCTCAAAAGTTCAAACAATGAGCTTTTGCATCTCCTGTGTGGTGCCTGTCATTTCAAACACAGCCTCGCAAATATTAATCCCCTTTTTCGCTTATTGGCTTTCCATTCCGCTGAGGTTCAGTCTAAAACATCTGCTTATGCCGAGCTTTAGAAAAATGGAGTTGCACACCATCTTGTGGGTGCTGGGAGAAATTATAAAGTGTATCTCGTACTGTGGATAGGCAAAGGCACTGGTGATGGCAAGGACCAATACATTGGGGGGGAACAAGGTAATTTCTTTTAATTATGCAGCAATTGTTTGTTGTTTAATGTATTCTGTAGCTGAGATCATTGTTTTCCCCTTTTATTTGGTTAATTCCAAAACAAGGAAGAAAATCTGTCAGCATACTGTAGTTACGTATGCTTTTTTTCCCAGTTGATCCTTCCTCATGACTTCCTTAAACACTCCCTACCAAAAAGTAAACACACCCATTGAACCCATAACGTGAATGACCGAGTTCAAACCAAGGTCTCCCAGAACAAGATGTGTATGTAAAGTGACATACAGATAGATTCATGTCCTTGTGTTCTGAATGGCAAACACTATGTTCATTGTTACAGTGTAGAGATGTATTTTTTATAAAGTGCTTATTTTCATCTGTTTGAAAGCATCAGTGGCTGTACTGTATCATTGTGTTGTTGAAAAGTATCTTTTTGAGATTTTCGATTGTATCACATGGAAATTTGGGGTTTTGCTTTTTATGCTTATTTAAATAATAAAAACAATTTTAGATTTGTTTGGTTAAAGGGACTTTGCTTAATGAAACACTGGTGAACAGAAAGATGTGCTGCAGTATAGAAATAAGTCTCAGAACTACATTTGATATTTATACTTAAAGCTTTCATTTAAGTAATATGAAGCAGAAAAAAATAATCTTTTGCCCTAGTGTACAATCTTGAATCGCTGACCCAATGGTACCCAACAAATAGCCTATATACAGGTGCATCTCAATAAATTAGAATGTCGTGGAAAAGTTCATTTATTTCAGTAATTCAACTCCAATTGTGAAACTCGTGTATTAAATAAATTCAATGCACATAGACTGAAGTAGTTTAAGTCTTTGGTTCTTTTAATTGTGATGATTTTGGCTCACATTTAACAAAAACCCACCAATTCACTATCTCAACCAATTAGAATATGGTGACATGCCAATCAGCTAATCAATTCAAAACACCTGCAAAGGTTTCCTGAGCCTTCAAAATAGTCTCTCAGTTTGGTTCACTAGGCTACACAATCATGAGGAAGACTGCTGATCTGACAGTTGTCCAGAAGACAATCATTGACACCCTTCACAAGGAGGGTAAGCCACCAACATTCATTGCCAAAGAAGCTGGCTGTTCACAGAGTGCTGTATCCAAGCATGTTAACAAAGTTGAGTGGAAGGAAAAAGTGTGGAAGAAAAAGATGCACAACCAACCGAGAGAACCGCAGCCTTATGAGGATTGTCAAGCAAAATCGATTCAAGAATTTGAGTGAACTTCACAAGGAATGGACTGAGGCTGGGGTCAAGGCATCAAGAGCCACCACACACAGACGTGTCAAGGAATTTGGCTACAGTTGTCATATTCCTCTAGTTAAGCCACTCCTGAACCACAGACAACATCAGAGGCGTCTTACCTGGGCTAAGGAGAAGAAGAACTGGACTGTTGCCCAGTGGTCCAAAGTCCTCTTTTCAGATGAGAGCAAGTTTTGTATTTAATTTGGAAACCAAGGTCCTAGAGTCTGGAGGAAGGGGGGAGAAACTCATAGCCCAAGTTGCTTGAAGTCCAGTGTTAAGTTTCCACAGTCTGTGATGATTTGGGGTGCAATGTCATCTGCTGCACAATGTCATTTTCAAAATCCATTGTGTTTTTTGAAAACCAACGTCACTGCACCCGTTTACCAAGAAATTTTGGAGCACATGCTTCCTGCTGACCAGCTTTTTGAAGATGCTGAATTCATTTTCCAGCAGGATTTGGCACCTGCCCACACTGCCAAAAGCACCAAAACTTGGTTAAATGACCATGGTGTTGGTGTGCATGACTGGCCAGCAAACTCACCAGACCTGAACCCCATAGAGAACCTATGGGGTATTGTCAAGAGGAAAATGAGAAACAAAAGACCAAAAA